GTCTAGAATGTATAAGTCTAGAGCAACACTAGCTGCCAATTCATACTATTTTGCTTTTGGGTGTATGATAAATTGACATTCATCATAAAGGGCGTGGAAATGAATTCTGAATTGAGACTCTATCACGAATCTGCGATTAGAGTAAATATTCTCATCACATAGAGAATGCGAATTCTCAATGTATTGCTTTATATAAATATATATCCATTTTTGTATGTTCATAATTTATCTGAGAATATTCCTTCTCAACTCATACTATTTTCATTATTCCAAATTTTTTGGGATTTTCTCTCCTCGTTTCTATAAAATAAAAATATGAATATTATTTCAATATACGTGTAGTAAGGACAAATCAGATTATTTGCCCCACAAAATGACACTGCGTTTAAAGAATTTTCCGGAAACAAATCCAACTTTCGCAGCTTCTTCCATTATCTGTCTCTGGCGATGTATTTATCAAAATCGTCACATCCCGGTATAAACATCATATTATTTATTATGAATTGTTGGGATAATATTTGATCGAAAATGCGATTTCCATCAAAATCACTAATGAGAACTACCCTAAAGAATTTAAAAAACTTCTTCTGACAGTTGTGACAACTATTCAAAGCTGAACAGCAGCCAAGTTTTGGTCGATTTTTGTTGATTCTCCATGAAAATGTTATTTGGTGTTGGCAAAGTGCCGTGAGAAAAAATATTTCTCACAGTATGAGCAATACATGGTTTCGAAACTAAGTTAGCTATGAGAAAAAATGCGCTACTTTCCATAGCAGTAGTAGAAAAACTATATATACGCATGCCTGTCAACCCATCATCAAAAATTATTGTAATTATACAATTTAAAAAATGTAGTTTCAAGTTCAGTAAATCGTTTGGTCTCTTTTGATTTTTCAATGAATTTTCTTTTCTCATGCCATGCACTCAGTGTATATCTATCCTCAATTACGATTACATCCGATAAATGAAGACAAATAACTTCCACACTTATTATTGTATGGTTAGCTATAAGAGGTGTCAAAATCAAATATGCGGGATAAAATCAGCGACATGCACTTTCATAATTATTGCATGTATTTCTATTAGATCGGACCAGTGAATTGTTCGCTTTCGCTCACATGTTTTGGTTTTTGGAGAGAAAAATCTGAAAATTGGTATATTCCTCAAACAATGTATTTGAAGAATGCAGTTTTTTTTTCCAAAGAAGGGAAGTGTATTTCGTGCAAGATGATTTATTCAAATTTATTACTCGTCGCAGAGCGCTATCGACTGTCAAGTCATCATCAGTGCATACCTGTAAGTAAGTAATCTGCCTTCAGCTATTTTGGAAAGAAATTGGAAATTTGAAAAAATTTTGTTTGAAATTTTTTTTTTAGTTTTTTTTTTAAATTTTCAATATTGAAAAAAAGGTTTAATTGAATTGGTGACTTGTTACTTGTAGATGAAATCTTGATTTTGAAAAAGACATGATCATGAAATCGAAATTTGAAAATAGTTGAATACGAATTTAGAAATTTATAACAGTGAATTTACTTACTCGTCAGGTTAACAAGGAAACTTGTCCATAAAAATATCTCTGGTCCAGTTTAAAACTATCGACATTATGGTAAAATACGGTACGAACATATCAAATTGTGTTTCCCAAAACGGGGTAGAATACAGATTACATTTTGTTAAGCAGTCATTGTCGCCGCGAAACGTTGTCTTGAAGTGAACTTGATGAGTGACGGACCTTGGTTTAATTATCATTGAACGTACTGGACTAATTGAATTTGTTTCGTCCGCCATTTTTCCAATTATTTCATGTATTCAAATAAATATTTTGAGAATGGTATAGGTAAAATGATGCTATATATACATAGGATACTTTGATTTGTAACTGGATTCAACTAGTGATGTCATATTACAGAAAACAGTTTTTATGTCTTGAAATTTGAATGAAGTTCACACTTCACATACACATAACGGGACCTCGCCCTTTACATTTCTGATTTTTTCACATCAATGTTTGAGATTTCTCATCGATAGAGTGTCAATGACCAATTTCATCATATTCAACATCTGAGATTGGTCAGATTTTGACTCTATAGGTCTTTCAAGTTCATAAAAAAATATGAAAAACAGGGGCACCGAGATTCGTACTGAACCTTATACCTATGTCTTTATTTGTCATATATTGTAATTGATCGAGGATACATTTTCACTGAGTACCTACATAATTTCAGTCCAGTGGGAAACAATAATAATGACATGTGATACTGAAGATTTTTCATAATTTAATTCAACGTTTTTGTGTATCTGACGATGTTGCACTACAGTCCATTACTCTCACGAGTCTCACGACGACAACCAAGCTAGAGAATGACAATATAGGCATAGTAAATTATCTATTGGTGAAGTCAAACTCATAAATCATTGATCTATATTGTTGTGTCTGCGTCTACGGTCTGCCGATGACTTAAAGGGAAACCCAAGATTCGTAATGTAGGATGATGCAGGAAATCTGAATCATCAAACATAATGTCATGTGGATGATTGACTACAGTAGGTTTTATCTCGACGTTTTTGCCTGAAGTGATGAAATCTCTTAGTGACCCAATCGGTCCATAAATTTGTTACGATTTTTCCTATGAATATAACAGAATAGAACAGCATTAAAAGCACTCCAATGTTCTACTTATGCCTATATAGTTATTTATCATAGAAGGTTGTGTTGTCTCCCGACGCGTAACGAATTGGGACAAAAAAACCGCTAAAATCTAATATATTTTCGTGTATGATACACTATTTTTTTGTGACAGAAAAAACGACGAATCAATATATTGAGAAGATACATTAAGTATATTAAAATTGAAAAATTATCGACGTGAAATTTGAAGTCTTCAACAGGAATTACCTACATCTGCGCTGCAGGCATGGGAAAAAAGTAATTTATGAAAAGTTACATTTTATAACCTGTCAACAGAGATGAATTGTCAAACAATTTTCCTGTCACAGAAAAAAGTATTTCCAAAATGCCATTAAGTATACCAAAGCAGATTTTGGTTGATATTACTCAATATTTTTTTTCAATTGATTGGTTCATTATTATTGATTTGTTGGAAGTATCAACTGTCATCATCACCGTTCTCTGCGGGAAAAAACATTCGTTAGAAAATCAACGCGAGATAAAATAAAAAGTCTAAAAAAGCTTTGACAGTTGATATTATAACCTTGGGAAAATTGTGTGTGATCCGCGCAGCTATTTGGTGAACATTCTTTCACATACAAGTCCGGACAGGTATCATCAAGTCATCTTCAAATTATGGGTGTCGACGCAACATTTTTTTTAGGCAAAGTTGCATTTTATTAACCCGATGAGAAGCAATTTATTACGAATTATAGAAGAGTCAACCGTAGAAGATGATGGCTTATAAAGACATTTTGTATTAAAAATTTGTAAACTTGTGCATGACTTTGAAGTTGGTTTTTTTCATGAATACCTTCTGAAATATACTAGGTATACGATTTCAATATATAGAAATGTTACTCTGTATATACTCTCTATAAGTAGTATTTGTTCTACTACCTACACAGAGGGTATTATTATAGCTCAACTCCATGCGATATACCACTAGATATATGATCTTTATAATTTTCAAAAACTATGTAAGTGAATTTTTTATATCTCTTCGCACGAAGGGAAATTCCTGTTCGTGCGTAGGTATACCTATAGGGAGGATAGGGAGAGAAGGTAGGTAGGAATTTGTTTTTTCTAACTTTTGGAGGTTATATATAAGTTCTTGGGAATAATTTCCATGCATTGACAATAAATTCCGAAGCTTCGCCGTTTCATTGTATATATATTTTTGGGATGTACGAGCTCAGATTTCGAATATTACACGATTTTTATCAGTCTAAAACTCTAAAATACATATAGGTGTTTTTGGTGATCCTAAAAAATGAGTATTCATCGCATTAGTATTATTCATTTTTGAATTGCCACATTTGTATACCTAAGTATTAGGTATTAAGTCCCAGCTACCGGCTTGCACTTCAAGTAAGTACTACATATTCAAGAAGTACCTGCCAAACGAAAAAACAATTTGTCAAGATCAATCCGAGGATCAATCAATAGATTTTATATCAGGGTTCAGTTTTCATCTCAATTTGGATGAATTGTATCAGATAACAAAAATTGCGTTCACGTTCGTTCAGAAACACGTACCTATATACTTATTATGAAATTATCATCAGTCAACATGTTTTGTTAGCATCTTGTTATTCTCGTTCAATGTTCAATTAACAAGGGTACCAGTTAAAAACACAATCTTGCGCTGTAGGTACTTTAATAAATGTTCTTCTAGCAATGCCATGGATAGGTTAATAATTGAACCAGTGGGTATATACAGGTATTTACCTTTGACAATTGATTCATCAATTATTGATTTGTGAGAATAATGAGAAGATGATGGCTATCGTTTATTTTTCCAACTTTAAATTATGTGAAAATCTATAAATAAGTACCCACTTGTACTACAATAACGGTAATATACGTTCAATTGAATCTCTGAAAAGATATTCCGAATATCACGAAAATGTTGTTGGTATCTTAAATATTTCAGTTTTATTCAACGCCTTCTAGTTTCGAGTAGTTAGTCGAATGTTTAAATTCAAGATAATAAAAGCATTCAGTAGTTACCAAAACTACCTATTGATAATAACAAACTAAGAATAATATGTGTAAAAAAACCGCATGTATCGCAATAATCCAGTCGCCCGGCCAACTCATCAACAGCTGAACATCACAGCGATGGGAGCGTTTCAACCGTTATTTATCGCGTGTAGTTATTAACTGTTGTAGAACACGTGATTCGCTGCCACCGTGTTACGCGCCCAGTTGGCCTCACAGCTACCGTGCTACGCGCGCCGAGCGGTAGCCCCAAGCTAGCCAGCGAGCGACCAGACCTTTTTTACGCTCGTTACGCGATAAACATCCCCAATTCCCGTGCAGCACCTACCTCTAGTACATCCTGGAAGCACTGGCACGTAGGTATACACCGGTCACCACCTCACAGCTCCGCTCGGCACAATGTGAATTTAGTTTACGAGTCGGGAAATAGTGAAATTCTGCTGCTGTACTTAACTATGGCTGGTAGCTCAATGATTCTAACAAGTAGTGAGTAGAACGGGAACCCATTGTGTCCCCTTACCCTGCGCCGGGTCGGTAAAGCACTGCCTACTGCGAGGTGGGCTTTGCTGCCGTGGGAATAGAGGCGATTTTAGCTGGCGCGCCAACACCGGAAGCCGTTCGGCGGGCGAGCGATTTTCGACCGTACGGACATTAGATTACAGAAGATGACATTGTTCGGGCTTGATTGAGATTTTAAAATGAGTCGCTGCTCGTGGGAGTCGCATTCGGCTTTGCACGAATTGGGTTGGGGCCCGATTCGGTCGATTGACGACTCACCTACCTCCGTCATTGATTTTCGGGGGGTGATAAATCGATGGGAATGGATGTCGATGATCGGTCGTCGGTTGTGTGGGTGCGAACTTGTCTAGGAGTCTGTAAATCTTTCCGCCGATTGAATGAATACCTATTCCTTCCTACCTATCTATGTGATTTTGACGCCATAGTCGAAATAATAAAAAATGATTTATAGGTAGAGCTCGGCAAGTTATTATAAGTAGAAAAAATCCGTGCTATGTATCATGACTACTGATCATTTCACTGGTAATGTATCGGTAGTTACTTGTCTGGCACATAATGTTTGAACAAACTACCTATATGATAAATAGTTTAGAATTCGACGGAATTCATCAGGTGATAGTATACCTATTACGACATTTTGATTTGTTATCAAACATTTGCGAAATACCCTGATGCACTCCATCTACATATATATACGCATATAAATAATAAAATAATAACTTTGGTCTGTGCTTTGGTATAGATGAATAAAGTTTCAACAATGATTTCAAAACAGATAAAGTTATAGAAGAATGTAGAATAACAATCGAGACTGTGAGAGGTAGAGGAAGAATACATACATACATCATCGATATTCAATCAGAATATCAAATATCAAAGCAAACCTGAAATAATCTCAAATCATAAGTTACCCAAAGGTAATAGGACTAGATAAACTGCTTTGGTCTCTAAAACTGATTATCGACTTTTGCAGCAGGACCAAGAATAATACTAAAAGTGTGATTGTGTCTGATATGTGAAATATTGCTCAGATGTTTTCAATGCTTCCAATCTGTTTATTCCCAAAATATTAAATTATTGTGAACTTACCACGAGAGTAGAAGATACTTCTGTTTCATATCTGTTTGGCGCGATGTCAACAATGATCATCAAAAAACTATATGGCCATCTACAATTTATATATCTCAAGTCTTTGATCATACAGTATTGAAGCTATACTTTCTCTGTCAATGGTTTGAACTATGTTTCATTCTTCATCGACTATAATTCATTTTATGGTATGGTATCGAATAAAAATTCATTCAATTCATTATAGGATTCGTGATATGCATGTGAGGAGGATTATAAAAAAATAGACTCATTATTGTGAGGTATATTACAGAATTCATCCAAATCCACAAATCTTTTTGTGATTGGGTTATATCATTATCTTAATGATTGTGTATAAGGGTAGGTAGCTAAACAAAATTTTTCGTTAATCATACTATTCATGAAAACCTATATATTATATACCTACTTACTTAGTGAACTAATTTAAATTAGAGTAAACATGCAAAGTATTATGATTGCTGTCTACCTGCCAACCCTTTGAATGTTATCTACCTACCTATTTATTTCGAAATTAACTGAGCTGATGTTTTTTTTCCAACGTGTCTCCCAGGCAACAACAAAACATTTCATTATATATGGTCAGGAATAACAATATACACTTCTCCAAGAAACGCACTATAAAAAATTTGCCAAAAGTTTAGCAAACATTTTCGTCAAGCGTATAATTGTCCGATTTGTGTTTCTGGAGAAATATGAAATAATGGAGTGAATCCAAAACAGAAATGTTGATTAAAGATAAGGCTAAAATATACCTCCAATTTCAACTTGATAACGTAATTGTTACACTCCACAGGCTATTACAAATTTCATGAAAAAACACGATATAATCGCTGCACCCGGTATCCATAAAAAGAGGTTCTAATGCGAATACAGTTTGCACCCTAATGTTCAGAAGGAAATAACCTGTCATTCAAAATAAAAAACGTTCAAATCCGGCAAGTCGTTTTGACGAAAATGTATCCTAAACTTTTGGGTATGCTTTTTGGTGGTGCGCTAAATTCTTGGAGAAGTGTATTTCTGTCTTCAGTTAGATCTCATCAGTAAGTATCTCTTTGCAGTAGGCATTGCTTGATATATACAAAATATATTTTCCTCACTAATTTTCATTTTAATAACTTGACTTTGAAAAGTATCCGGTGGAGAACATTGGAACGGAAGAGTGGTAATGAGTATGGGGTGGAATCAGTCAGTGTATCAAGAATTTTTTGCACAGTATTCTGAGCTTGCATTTTCCAAATCATACCAAATGGAAGACGATTAGCTTCATACGGTCCCTTTGATGTCAGAAGTATGGAAAATGATTTTTAATTCGGCCATATATGCACCGACTCCAAAATAATAATAATAATAATAATATGCATTTATTGGCAGAAGAATAAGCAATACAATTTAATTTAACTTGTATCTGCCAATAGGATACAAGATTGGATAACTCCATTCTCTCTTTTGCACCTAACCCAAAAACGAAACGAAACAATAGTAATAATAGATAATGAATGAATATAAATACACGACACACAGAAATATGTTAAATTATACCTAGTGAATATAGAAGGATACATAAATGGTAAATTGACCTAGGCTACCAGTAGGATCGAAGATTTTTATACATGATGAGAATGGTTTTTTTTTTTTCATATAGGTACGCTCAAGTTGAATTCATTTTGGTGAACACTATATTATGTAGACATGAAAAGGGCCACAAATGAGAAAACCCATATACAAAATACTTGGGCATTATAGATTGTTCTGAAAATTTTGTTTGTGAGAGTATCTGAAGCTTGCCAAAGATTTGGCCTGGAGTGAGAGCGGAAAGTCATTGTATAGGTAGTTCAGCTTTTTTTTTTGGTGAAAGATCTTTTGAACTGTTCTGTGGAATGTCTAACAATGTGGATCCTTTTGCGTCTGATGTTTCGTGATGTACATCAGTTCTATATTGAATCTTGTTATCGAGATAGGGCGATGTTTTAGTGGTAATAATTAAATAATATAACACAGAGGTATGAAGTGTGCGCCTAACAGACATTTTCAAACATTTTGCTTTTTTTGCGTATATGAAACTGGATCTCGTTTTCTAATTCCAAAAAAAAATCTCAAGCACAAGTTTTGAACTCTTTGGATTCTATTCTGTTCGGTAGAGTTCAGAAAATAATGGTAAACCACATCACAGTGATCGAAGGTTGACAGTATCAGAGTGTAGCAAAGAAGTAATTTAGTGTTAGTATTCAGTGCATGCCTGTGGGGATATAGTACTAGTATGTTCTATATAATCAACAAGCAAAATACTTGATAGTGAGCATATACGGGGTGATTCAAAATTCGATGTGAATACTTCAAGGAGTTGGTATCAAAACAAGATGTTTTCTTTATATAAACATGTGTTCTAAAATGCATTTATGAAAAAATTGCAGGAGACTGAATTCTTACATTTTGTTATGACCCACAAGATCGTGCTATTCAAAGTCACTCTTTTCAAACATGAAATTTGGGCCAATTAAAGTGTGGACCCCCTTTAACTCCCCCAAAACTGCATTTACATCGTTTCTAAAGCAAGAGGGAAATGAAGTGAGACCCTGGTTCATTGTACTAGTATTTCAACTGATGAAGCTACTGTGTTAGCAAAACATGTCGTGTGTTTGAGAATTTTGTGGAAATCTTATCGTTTGTGCAGTTTATACAAATACAAAATCTTTATAGTTTCTATATTGATAAATTTTTATGTCTGCCTTATTATAAAGCCTATAACAAACGGTTTGCTGCTTTGGTTATATTTCGTGAAAAAGATAGCATATATGGTCATCTGTAATTCTCAGGTCTTTCATTTCCTTAATACTCTGCAATTCCTCATCTTGTATCATATAATCGAATATTATTGGATATCTCATATTTTTCTGCATTTTCTCAGATTGGGAAGTAGTTCATTTCTACGGCTCCACTCATAAACAAATTCTAAGTTCTTCTGCAACATAACGCAGTCGCAAATCTCCAGATCATCTGCGAATAGTAAACATCTCGAGTACCTGAGAACTGAGGGCAAGTCATTGATGAACATAACAAAAAGAGATGGTCCCAAATTGGAACCTTGTGGTGCTCCAAAATTAGCTTCAAATTTCCCTGAGGTATTTCCATTAAGCTTGACTATACACTAAAAATCTATGTATACACATGGAAGAGGAGCAACATGCCTTGGGAAAGAAGCAATTTGAAGGTAGCGATTCAAAATGCCACAAAAAATCAAATTTTCGAACCAATCAAAGATGATAGAAAAAGAATGGCTGTATATATATTGACTTACATACCTTGGGAGGGGAACATACCTTGGAATAGAAGCAATTTGTCAAAAGTATGGAAAATATTTGAGAATCTTCAATTCGACATCAAAATTTTCAATAATCATCTGCCATTCGGGATTTGATGGGAATGCTAAAGCTAATTTCGAATCGCTCAAAATCCGTTTTATTGCTTATTTAATCCTATATTTATCCATGTCTGATGTCAAAAATATGGCAACTTCATTCCGATAGACTTATTCAGTGACATTATCAATTAATACTATGCAAATTTACGGCAGGTGAAACATGTACCTGTCATAATATATCTGCATACCATTAGAAAATCATTTGTTTGATGCCAGTGTTGAAGCCGTTCAAATTCTGAGAATGTATTGTTAAATTATTCCTAATTCATTCTTATTGTGATGTGAGTGGGAAGCTTAGCAGAAAGGACCGACAACAGTGACATTTGGCACTAACTTATAAAAAAGCTTGATAAATAAAATCAAAGTTTTGAGTCAAATTCTATACGTCACCATTATCAGTTGAAATGTCGTAACCAGCTCAAAAGTGGTATACCTAGGTACATAATCTGGGGCGCTTCAAT